ATAATAATAATAATAATAATAATAATAATAATAATAATAATAATAATCGTAATAATAATAACGATAAAAAACATAAAACATAAAACAAAATAATAATCGTGTAGAATCGTAAACGGAAAAAAATAAAAACAATAACTCGAGATCCCGATCAGCGGCGTAGATGAAGATTCTATTCCCCATCTATATTTTCATATATGTATGTACATATAAATATATTAATCGAGTATGTATACATTTATTATCGTTTTTTTGATGAAGAAATCGGTGTTATATCAAGAACATTATAAAGTGTTGAATTTTTTAATTTTCAGAAAAATTATTCTGAAACTTTCTCGTTTATACGTGAAAATTTTGTCCTCCCCCCGAGTCCTTCATTCGTTCCATCGTTCTTTCACACACAGTTCACCGTTAGCCTCTCGTGTCTATGAGTAATGTACATCTATGTGTTGTGAGTAGTGTAAAAGTCCATTGTCGGTTAGTAGTTCGTTCGGTTGCATTCCCATACATATGTATAATTCACATGTGTACGAGTGTCGATCGTGTACATCAGTGGCGGGTGGTGGTGTCGGTCGGTCGTGGTCGTGGTGGTAATACGGTAACGGTACAGTGGCGGGTATTCCTGGCTACTCGCGATTAGTTACCTCATGTCACCGTATCCGACTGTCGTCATGGTGACCACGGCCCACCAGAACGCGTCCGGGATGGACTTGAAAAACGACTGATCGGAACCCGCCTCGGCGAAGTACACGGTGCTCGAGAACAGCACCACTCCTGGAAAACAACACGCTCAGAGACAATATCGACCCCCTTGGCACGACAGTAAAACGTACAACAACAAGAAACCTCCCCCTAATGCCCGTGAAAAAAAAAAAAAAAAAAAAAAAAAAGAGAGAGAAAATAGCGAGAGAAATAAACAGCGGAAGAGAAAAAAAAATGAAAAAAACACACCCCGAAAACCATATGGCGCCACGAGATCCGGGGCGACTTCGATCACGGCCGCTATACAATATTATATATGTTTTGAAAATCGGTGGAAACAATTGGGTGCGCTCGCGCGTTTCCAGAGATCATTCGGCCGCGGGCACCGAGAAGGATCGGACGGCGTACGGGAAGCAGTGCACGGCGCGGAAAGCCGAGCTGACCTGGTAACGCGCACGCGCATCAATGGGATTAGGTATTCCGGGCACCGAGCGCACGTCTTTTCCGTCGTATTCGGGTCAGCGGTGTTATCGAACGAACAACACGACGTCGTGCACGACACGTCGCGTGTGCGATCGTACCGGACGTGCGAAACTGCCTGTGACTGAAGCAGAGACGACCGACCGTGGAGTGAGGTAGGTGACGAGGAGGGAAATTGGTGAGAACGAATGGAGAGGATCCGGGTGTATTTGAATAGAACGCACGCGCGGGGTCAACGGGAAAAGATTTGCCGAGGTTACGTCAACCGTATGAACGGAGCCCTTCCGGTGAAAGAAAAAAAAAGAGAAACAGAGGATGCAGCGAGTGTGTTTTAACATATTCTCGCCATGGCGATAGCGCGTCGTGTTCCGGTAATAACTGCTTCTCGTGGGTACACTGCGCGAGAATACTGCGTTGAAACCGATCGGGCGGCTACAGATCTTATACCGTCTCGTGTTCCCGATCGACGTTCTAAGCGGGTATCGACATTTCCGTGTGACCTCGCTTTCGACATTTGTTTCCGCGATTCGCACTGAAACCGACCGTGTTGTGGCCCCCGGGAAATTCGAATTTTTACGCGACGACTTTTTACCGAGTAAAAAACGAAACGTCACGTTTCTCCGGTTCCGCCTGAACATTATAACGTTGTGCTCGTCGAACAGCAATATCGTAATGGTAAGGAATAATGACAATAAGACGATAGGTACGCGTGATCGTTAATTTTAAGTTGGCGTGCGCGCGAGAACGACGTGAACCGCGACGGGGGGAGGGGGCAAGGCTGGAAGGTGAAAGCGTTTATTATTTATTTTTATTTTTCCAGCCGAGGACGACGACGAGATCATGTAATTTGGAAGTAGCACGCGTGCGCGTCGCCGATTAAAAGTAGGCCGTTTTCCTTCAATGACGTTATTCACAAAAACCCCGGACGGATGACGTCATTCAATCACTCCACCGCCGCCGCCGCCGCCGAACCGAGCGCGCGCTGTACGTGCACGCCACCCGCGGTCGGACGTGGTATCCATGACGACGGCTGCGCTCCGCCGACCCACGTCGACGCGAGAGCCGACGGCCCCGGCCAAAAGCTTACGCGGCGCTCGTGTTCGCGTGGACGAGCTTGTGCGGGCGCACGTGCGCGCGGCTGGTGCCGCTGCGGAGGGATGTAGCCCCGCGATGGGGTGTAGCCGCGGGCGGCCGACGGCGTTTCGGGCAGGTGAAGCCGACGGCGTGAACGGTGAAATTACGTCACCGCGTTCACGCAACGTCGGTCCGGCCGAGAACGTTCGATGCGCGTCACGCGCGC